TAGCCAGACACCATCTAGTTCTGGTCTCATGGTCATGTGGGCTGAGGTTTGCATTCTTCTTTGCTGTGGATAAGGAGAGACCCATTGTTGTATCTAAATGGCCACTTGCAAGCTTTTAAGACCCCAGTTGCTACTTACCAAAGTAGGATGTAGAACAGTGTTTTTGTGTCGTGTGTTATGCCAATTAGCTCGATGGCCCCTGCAGCCATGGTGCCAAGCCCATTGGTCCAACTACTGACTCCCTCACGGTGGTTGGCTGTGCTAAGAAGTTATCATATCTTTGCCCCTTATTAGCTCTATTATATATTGGACATTCTTACAGCATATACAAGTACATATATGAAAATAGCATCTGCCAGCCTTACACATGATCAAGGATATATTCCCTTTTGCCTAGATGTACCTGATCTTTCAGTCTGTCTACTTATCTGTTTACCCATAGATTAATGTTTGTTATCACTGATAATACAATATTGTATATGTAAATATGGGTTCTAGTGTACTTCTCATGCCCCTCTCTGTGTTTTCCTTTTCCTTAGTGTTACTGTTTTGGTTACTCGGTTTTGGTATATTGCCTTTTCCTCCACTCAAATCAATATTTGTCTCTACCTTGGATAGGAGTCTTTTAACTTCCCACCTTTCCTCACGTACTGTCACATTGATTCTTAGAAAATTCCTGTGCTGTAGGCAGGATGGAAATTGCAACCCTATTTTATAAATAAGAAATCTGAGGCTAACATTAGTACCCAGATTTCTTGGTAGAAGATAGATCCAGACTATGATAAGGGTAGTAGGAATGAGAACAGGAATATTTACCAACTAAGTCTCCATTCTCTGGAAGCAGTGGGAATCCCTACAAGGCAGAAGGGGGACAGGGAAAGTGTATTCCTGAGGCCTTAACTGATGGTGAGGGAAGAGGTGGATGTAGCAGCAAGCCAGAGATTTTTCAGAAACATGGCAGAGAGAGTGTGATGAGAAAGGTGTGGTAGTTAAATTTGTATGTTAACTTTGCTAGGCCTGATTGAGTGGCTGGGCAGCTGGTGGTAGTTATTCCCTATGACGAGACTGGCAGTCAACTCCATGGTGGGATCTACCACAAGCAGCTGATAGCTGCCTTTGGGATGTGGTCTGCTTCCTGTATATAAGTAGAAGCCTTGGGGATGGTCTCTAGCTTATGGCACACTTGGACCCTGCATGCAACTGTGTCGTTGTTTAGCAGCCTGCCATGCTCTTTCACCCTTGGGACTTTCAGGGGACTTAAATTAATGGCCTGCCGTGTGGTTTGTTAACATCGGGACTGTGCCTTTTTACTTGTCAACCTTGGGTTTGTCAGCAGCACTAAGTAACCAGAATAGAATATGGTATCGAGTGAGTGGGGTGCTGCTCTGACAGATACCTAAAATGTGGAAACAGGAGTGGAGTGTGTCCTTGACCCAAAACCCTGGCAGAGACACCCCGGCATATGCTATGAGAGATGGCAGGAGCAGAGCCAAGAGACTGGCAGAGAGATATCGGCAGAGAGACCAGCATGAAAGATGGTAGTAGCAGAGCCCAGAAACTGGCATTAAACAGAAACAGGGCTTACCAGCCCACGGAGGAGAAAGCTGGGTGACATTAGGTAGGCGGCTTCCTGGTGGAGTGGGTTGCCTTCAGGCATTAATTGGTGAAGACACCGACATAAAATGGAGTAGCAGGTTGGCTGGCCCATGGAGCAAGAAAGCTAAGTGTCCTTTGGGCAGAAAGATTTCCTGCGGAGTGGGTTCCCCTTGGGCATTAATTGGCAGAAGCAGAGAGACTAAGGAAGCAGGAAGCAGAGCTACCTCAGCCTCAAAGGGTAGGACCATGGCCTTTGGGGGTGGAACCACCATAGCCCCCTAAGTTTCAAAGAGTTAGACTTTCACCAACTCGGTTCTGGATTGTGGGGCTGCTCGTTCAGGTGAGCTAGTGAAATAGAGCCATAGCTGCTGCCCAATTGTGAGGGGGTGGGGCTGCCATGCCCAAGAGGGAGAGGAATGGGGCCTGCCAGGCCAGGGGCATGAGGTCACCATTTAGAGGAACTAGGGGACTGGAGTCACCTAGCAAGAGAGATCTGTACAGATGCCACCCAATGAAGATCTGTACAGGTGTCAAGTTGACAAGAGGTGGAATTGTGGTAGTTAAATTTGTATGTCAACTTGGCTGGGCCTGGTTGAGTGGCTGGGCAGCTGGTGGTAGTTATTTCCCATGATGAGACTGGCAGTCAACTCCATGGTGGAATCTACCACAAGCAGCTGAGTAGCTGCCTTTGGGTATGCAGTCTGCTTCCTGTATATAAAGAGAAGCCTTGGGGATAGTCTCTAGCTTATGGCATGCTTGGACCCTGGATGCAACCTTGTCTTTGTTCAGCAGCCTGCCATACTCTGTCGACCTTGGGACTTTCAGTGGACTTAAATTAATGGCCTGCCATGTGGTTTGGTAACATCGGGACTGTGCCTTTTTACTTGTCAACCTTGGGTTTGTCAGCCTCAGCAGCCAGCAGCTGTCTGAATGAAGAAACACTTCTAGCTCCAGTGGGCTGGGAGCAGGAGGCCGAGCTGGACCCCAAGGTTGAGGGGCTTTCATCTTGACCCTAGAGCCTCCAAACTGTAAGAGAATAAACTCCTGTTGGTAAGGCCATCCCATTTGTGGGATATTCTTGTCAGAGCGGCACTGGGTAACCAGAACAAAAGGGTTCAGGATAATTTCATAGTTAGCTAGGCCTTGAAGATTATGAAGAGTTAAATATATACAAATGAAGAAATATATACAAATTATCTCCAGGGGAGATAATATCATGGACAAAATTTTGGGAGCTGGGAAGCCTGCAAGGCTTGAATAAGGCAGGTGATGACCAGATCATGTCATACCTAGAGATCAGTGAAGTGATTGGGAGCCATGATAATTTTTTGAGTGGGAGAACGGCATTAGGAACATTATTCTGACAGTGTGGGCCTAATGGACTGGAGCAGGAAGCTTGGGGGAGAATAGTGAGAGATCAAGGAAGAGGCTGCTGTAACAGGCTGTCCTTGTAATGTCAGTAAATTTTAAGAAATACTCCAGCTATGCAGGCAAGAGATAATGAGATCCTAAACCAAGAGGCAGTTGACACAGTAGGTAATAAAGAAGAGCAGTTTGGATGTAGAGCTTTTAGAGCAAAAAAAAAAAAAAAAAAAAAAAAAACACAAGGAGTTGGCAATTGTGAGAATGGGGAATGAGAGGGAAGGAGAGTTGAGAGCACAAACATTTGGAGTGTAAGTGCCTGGGAAAATGTTTGTATCAGTCACTGAGCAGTGGAGGCTGGGAGAGAGATGAGTTCACTTTGGACATGCTGAAGTGAAGGTGCTTACTGTACAGCCCTCTTAGCACCCATCCCCTAAGGCTCAACCTGGGAGCTCTGGTACTGTAGTGCCTAAGGCACTTGACTGCTAACCAGAATGCTGGCGGTTCAAACCCACCAGCCACTCCTTGGAAGGAAGGTTGAGCCATCTACTTCTGCAGTGATACCGCCTCAGAAACCCCAGGAGGGTTCGCTGTGAGTTGGGTCTGACTTCATGGCACATAACAACCACCACAAGAAGGCTCTTCCTTAGTCCTTTGACCCAGGGCAGCAGAGATCCTTCAGCACCATGTGCATGCTGCTTTGTTCCAAGCTCAGAGCCCCCACAGATCCTCCATTCACGTCTTGGAGCAACTCTCACTCCCTCTAAAATGAGATCGTGCATGTACAGTGTTTAGTACCTAGTCTATTTCAAAGTGTGCAGTAAATGTTCAGGGCTTTTGAGTGGCCATTGTTGTTATTGTAATAGCTTTATGCACAGTAGCTCGAGATTAAAGAAAACGTTGGAACTTCTTGGTTGAAGGATTTGGGAGCCATTCAACTTGTATTTGGTAAGAAGCCTCAGGGCAGGAGGTAAATGGAGAGGATCTCAGACTTGAGTGTAGATGGGTGGAAGTTCTTAGCCCTGTGGGCTAGGAGTAGTGAACATATCCTGCCTTTTTTCTTCTGTTTCTGAGTGGATTAGTGTATGGTTAAGAGGGCAAGCCCTGAAGTTGGACTTTGTGGGTTCGAGCGTCAGCTTCACCATATTTTAGTTTTGTAACTTGGATAGATTAACTTCTCCGTGCCTCAGTTTTCCCACTGGTAAAATGGGAGAACCTAACATACCAACCTAACAATATTATTGTAAAGATTAAATGAGTTAATGCAAATAAGGGGTTTATAACAGTGCCTAACGTGCTATTATTCTCCGTAGCTCAGTGTTCTCTCTATCCCCATACTTCTGGGTATATATAAGGGTTTCTGTGTTCTTCAGCCATCCTCACTCAGCAGAGTAATAAGAGTGGGGAGAAACCTGAAACCAATCTCAGAGTGCTTGAAATTTTGTCCCAGCTCGGGTCTAGGTTGTCTGAGCCTGGAGGAACTTGACCCAGGAGTGAGAGACAGTTGTCCGGGAATCCTGAGTTCCATTCTTAGTTCTGCCACTGACTGACTTTGATCTTGGGTAAATCACCTAACTTCTGAGCCTCATTTTTCTCATATGTAAAGTAAAGAACATTCTTCTATGTGTGTCTTCCCTGTCAGTCACTTTGTTCTTGTTACTGGCTTTCTTCTTCCTTAAACATACCAAGCTCAGGCTTGTCTGTTACTGCCTGAGACCCTTTGCAGTGCTATCGCCCTTCTCGAGAACATCCCACCTCAGATTTTTACATGTCTTACTGCATTTAGGTCTCTGTCTGGATGTCACTCTTTAGAGAGGCCCATTTTATTTAAGATAGATTCTACTCTTACCCCTTGTCATTCTTCTGCTTTATTTTCCTTTATAACACTTAGTACTACTTGAAATTTTATATTCAGTTATTAACTCCTTTGTATCTTTATCTAGGCGAGCTGTATGAGGGCAGGAACTCAGAATACCCACACTGACCTAAGTTTGTGCCTTCTGTGAGCAGGACCCTTGACTGACTGCTCTTCTCTGTTGTAGGTGAGTCCTGTTCCCAGAGGCAGCTGGTGCTGGCCCCGTAATCTAAAGGAAGAAATAGCTGGCTGAACTCAGCCTTGGTACTGGTGAGTGAGGGTGCCTGGGCCAGCTTGGGCCAAGATGCAGGGACACTAGTTCGGGGACTAGTTCCCTTGTTGTTGCTATTGTTAGGTTGATTTTGACTCATAGTAATGCCATGTGACAAAGTAGAACTGCATAGAGTTCTAGGCTGTAATCTTTATGGGAGCAAATTGCCATGTCTTTCTCCTGTGGTGTGTCTTGGTGAGTTCAGACTGCCAACTTTTTGGTTTTCAGCCAAGCTCTTAACTGTTGCACCACCAGGGCTCTTTTCTTGTCTTTCTTTCTTTTTTTTAACCCTTATACAAATAAGTGACAAGTCATTACTCTCCTACTCCATGTGTAAGAAATTGGATGTTGGCACAGGCAGCCTCCTGGACTGGGAGGAGGCTTGAGTTAGCTTTCCTGGAGCTGCCACAGGAAGGCCTGGGATCATTTGCCATGAATAAGGTAAAGCTCATTTCCTTCTTGCTTCTGCCAGCTGCTTTCCACTTGGGGTTATCCTAGGATCTTACAGCTAAAGCCATCCTCACACAAACTTTCTTAATATGATCTCTAATTTCAGTTTCTACTGTGACCTGCCAAGCCAGTAGGTCAGCTTCAGGAAATCCTGTAGTTAATCATGCAAAACATGATCATGAGAGGTGGTAAGGCTGCAGTGATGGAGTAGAGGAAGGTTGCCTGAAGAAGTCAGGAAGCTTAGAAGGAAGACAGCTAGCTGATGGTGAAGGGAAGAGAAATCAACACATTAAGAACCTATTGTGTTAGGAATCTCATTTAATCTAGTCAAAGCCCCACTTTATAGAAGAGATGGAGGCTCATGGTTCTCATCTGGAAATCTATAAAACTGATATTAGAACCCAGATCAGTCTTAACGGTAAATACCATTGTTCTGCCTGATTCATCAGGCTTTCCTTGAGCTGCTGTTTTTCTTAAAAAGTTCAAGAAGATAGACCTCCTTAGGGATTCAGGATGATAAAGGAGATCCAGTTACTTGAGGGACCCAGGAGAGTAGGCAACAGTCAGGGCCCCTTCTAAGAAGTGGCATTTCTAGTGAGGGAGCTAAGAAGCTGAAAGATAGGAAGAACCTTTAAGTAGGCAGAGGTCCAGGCTGACTATGATGACATTAGAAGGAGCAGAAGAAAACCTGTGATGCATGGGGTCCCCAAAACACTGGATTAGAGTTGAGAAACCTGGGTTTTTTGGTCCTATGTTATAATATGTGCCCTTGGCCATCTCCATTTCCCTGTTTGTAAAATTAGAGTTCCAGTTGTGTCTGCACTAATCATGTAAGAATGTTGTAGAGAATCAAATGAGAAATGCAGGTTGGAAAGCTCTGTAAATTGTAAAGCAGCATGTCAGAAATGAGAGAAAGAGAGAAGGAAGTGCTGTCAGAATCCCCAGAGTCTCAGTCCTAACCTGTTTGTCACCCCACTCCCAAAAGTTAAAGGGGGAGTTTTCGTATGGAAATTTGCACTGTAAATCTCTTCCTGTATCTATCTTCCCTTCTTCTGTGAACCCTCTTTTGTACTCTCAGCGCAATCTTTTCACAAGGGAAAGGATCCAGGGCACGGTGTTGGCAGACCAGGTAATATGCAGAGTTTGGGATGCAAAGTACAGCTTTAAATGCACTTATACACCATGGCTCCAAGGCCACTACCAGCATAGATGTTGAAGCAGTCTTCAAGAGCCCATCCCCAGCATATGTCTGCACTCCCTGAGTAGGTCCACTGAGATGTTGCTGTTTTTTCTGCCATCATCTCAGAAGGGGAAGGCTATTCCTGTTTTGGCCCTAGGTTTCTCACACCCACATGCCCAGCCCATCTACTAGTTTTGAAAAAGGCATTTATGGTAGGCCACTCTCTTTGCATCATGGACATACTTTTCTCCTGTCTGCCTGTCCATACGGGGATCTGTTCCTACCTGGTGCTCTTTGACTCCAGATTGGGCAGCTCCAGCCTTCCTTTCCTTTTCAGATCTCCAGGATATTGCTGCCATTCCTTTTGTCTTACAGCCTGACATTTTACAGCTCCTGGCCTTACTGTGGCCTGGGTGCCAAGCTTGGATCTTATCGTTGTGCTTACAATGACTCTGGTGTGAAGAAGTTCTATTTTTGACTATTTTAAAATACTGATTATTCCATGTAAATGAGCATATAATATGTATGCATATATAACCAGTCATTGTAGAGTTGATTCTGACTCATGGCAACACCACCACGTGTGTTAGAGTAGAATTGGACTCCATAGGGTTTCAATGGCTGATTTTCAGAAGTAGGATTGCCTGGTCTTTCTTCCTCTAGCCTTTTGGTTAGCAGCTGAGTTCATTTACTGTTTGTATCCCCAGTGACTATATAGTGGTAACTTATCTGGTATCCTCATTTTTAAAGAGCCCAGCTGAAAAACAGGAGAAAAGTAAACCATCATCATCCTTAAACTCTTGCACAGCACTATTTTATTCATATTTTTAATGTGGTGTTGTAATGAGTTTGGCAATCTGGTTTCTAAACCTTCGTAAGATTAAAACAGTGTATAAAAACGGAGAGGAGCTGCTGTACTAACAGCATCTAGAGGTGAGTGCTGAAAGTTGACAGTACAGGGAGGAGTGAAAGAAGAGTGGTGTGAAAGAGAAGTTAAAACAACAGTCTGGAGCTTATTGAGTTTATGAGCAACAGCTTCAGTAAGGTGGGGGTGGAGCTAGGTACTTTTCAAGGTAATTTTGGGTTCCTCTTTAAGTACCAGAGGTATTAGAAAATGTTACATTATTTATCCAGGGAACTGCTATTTGATGAGTACTACAGGAGTCTGGCCCCAAAGAACCAAGTTTTTTCTCTTATCCTACATTGACTGTTTCTTCCTGACCTAAAACCCTGGTCTATCTCAGCCTCTTGGGCCAGTGGTTACCCTGTTATTCATTCAGTTCTCTATATGAATTTTCCTTTTTGGAGACTTTTCCTAATTGTCTTGGGCCTTTCTTGGGATTTGTGTAACTGAACAGGCTTGCCTTTGAGCATTTTTTTCTTTTTCCCTTGGCCCATTTTATCTCAAGTTGGTTCCTCTTCCTCCTGTATGTTGTGCTTAAAGTCTGTCTCCTTAGAGTGTATGCTGTGGTCTGTAGAGTCACTCGTGGAATAAACTGAGTTTTTTTTTTTTTTTTTAAAGATATAAACCCTTTCATGAATTTGGAAATAGCCATCATGTACCCCTGTCGGGGCCGACTCGACGGCACATAACAACAACAACAACAACAACAACAACCCCTGATATCTTCTGTAGGCCAAATAGACTCAGTTTTGTCAGCCATTCCTGGTCTTTCGACTCTTATCTTTTTTTGTAAATACAACTCAAAGTGTGAGGCCCAGAAAGGACTCCAGTGCTCCAGGTGCCTGCCTTTTCAGTCCCTTCTCCTGACTTCTCTTTCACACCACTTTAGTCACAGTTTTTCTTAAAGTCTTTGTAGTGTGCCAGGCTAGTTCCTCTTTTTGCATTTGGTACTGTTTCACTCCTGCCCTCAGATGTTTGAATGGTCTCACTTCTTTCCTAGCTCAACTCAAGTGTTCTCTCCTCAGCCCTTCCTGACCACCTTACTTAAAATAGCTCTGCTCTCTTATCTCTATCACTTTACCTTATTTTATTTTTCTCAGCAGTAGGTATTGATACTGACTGTGGTTTATCATCTGGCTCCCTATGAAAAATGTAAGGTTCATCAGGGTAAGGCCTCTTTTTTTTTTCCTCTCACCATTCCATCCTTAATACCTATAACAATGCCTGGCATATGATAAGACCCTTGTTAAATATTTCTCAATTAAATTAATTACCACTTCAGGGTAAGATACAGCTATCTTCTCCATTCTCAATTTTTTCCCTCTATTTAGAACACCTAAGATGGAATTAGGAGCTCTGGTGGTGTAGTGCCCAAGGCATTTGACTGCTAATCAGAAGGTTGGCGGTTCAAACCCACCAGCCATGCCACAGAAGGAAGACTGGGCAATCTACTTCCATAAAGATTTACTGCCTTGGAAACCCAAAGGGGGTCACTATAAGTCGGAATCAACTTGATGGCAGTGAGTTTGGTTTTTTTGAAGAAGGAATTAACTCTTGGAGCTGCATCTTACAACTGTCTTGGCCTGCACTGAGCTAATAAAAATACTAAATCTCCTTTTTATACTTGTTTGATCTATTCTGTCCTCACATACCCCCATCTTGTGTTTGTACAATGTTTAGGTGAAATGTTTAGATTCAGGTGCAGGATGCTACATTTATTCCCATGTAGGTTTGGGCCATTGTTCCAGCTGTTCTCATTTATTGTGCAGAGTGACCCGTCTCCTGGTTTCAGGCCATGCTGCTAGCTTGAGCAGCAGTACAGTCTTGTACACCTGTAGACCCTCTGTTTAAACGTTGAACAGAAGAGGACTGAGCCTAAGGCTCTGAGTTGCCTCTGTACACATCTTCTCTTAGGTTGGCAATAGCCCATTAGTTCAGTCAAGCAGATAGCACGGGTTCTTCATCTAGCAAGAATAGAGTGACAGACATTGCTGAGGTCCAGATATATTAGGAAAAAACCAAACCCTCTGCCATTGAATTGATTTCTGACTCATAGCCACCCTGTAAGAGTAGAGCTGTGCCATAGGGTTTCCAAGACTATAAATCTTTATACGAAGCAGATTGCCTTATCTTTCTCCCATGGAACGGCTGGTGGGTTTGAACCATTGACTTTAGTTAGCAGCCAACCAATGGTTAGCAGCCAAATGCTTTGACCACTACACAACCAGAGTTCCTTCAGATATCATATAAAAAAACCCCAAACGTGCTGCTGAGTCGGATCCGACTCAAAGCGACCCCTCCTTGGGTTTCCGAGGCAGTATCACTATGGAAGTAGATTGCCCAGCCTTCCTTCCGAGGAGTGGCTGGTGGGTTTGAACTGCCAGCCTTCTGGTTAGCAGTCAAGTGCCTTAGGCACTACGCTACCAGAGCTCCTCTCAGGTATCCTATGTTGTTGTTGTTGTTAT